ATTTATCCTGATTACAGTCACAACAAATATCACATGGTCTCTCCGAATTCAAGCACTTAACACCAAAAAACCCCCTTACGAGTAGCCAAAGCAGTAAATCTGCTAACTAAAGGTGGGTGTGAGAACTGGCTGAGGGAGGAAGGAGTTGTATATTTGTATATACGATTGTATAATTGTAATTATACAAGTAGATGAAGGAGATTCACGAGAGACCTTACACTGACTTGCAAGATGGACCCAAGTAAATAACACAAGTGAACATCTCTCTCTCTACTGCCAGGATCTGCCCTCAGACTCTCCAGGCTGGGTACAAGGTTGTGGGATGACCTTCTCTATTCCAGTCTCACAACCTCTTAGAAACCACAAAAGGTGTGTAAATCTGTATTATTATCCCATTTCTGAATCCTATACTTCAGGTTTAAACATGCAGTGATCAGAAACTGAAACGCTTAAGCGATTCCCCACCGGCTCAGAGATCAGCAGCAAGCAAAGCTCACGGTATCGCTCACCTTTGCCACTGCATGCCAAACCTATGGAAGTTAATCAAAACACCGGGCATAGCCTTTCAATGACTCAACAGCCCAACACGCTATCATCATCTCTTTTCAATATGTACTGTATTAATGGTTTTCACAATCGCTACATGACTCACAGGCACTCTCAGTTTAAGTTTTACAGGTAGCCTTCATTGCTGAGAGTTTAACCTCACTTTATATGTTACAGAAACCAAGGCACAGAGGAAACAACCCTGCAAAAAAAACCTAGGAAAAATTAGAAGGAAGAAACCCCACAGCTCTACACTGATGCTGCTTCCACACTGCTGAGCTGTCTTGTCTCCTCTGAGCCACAAGGCAGCCCAGATGGTGCAGAGAAGCATCTCTCCTCAAACAGGAGGCTGATAACCACAGGGAGATGCGATAAACCCGTGGAACGGCTGAAATACCAACGAAAGGTCATACAGCCCGAAAACCACGTCACTTCAGGGTTTCCACAAGCAACCTGAAATAACTGTCGCGATGGCTTCCTCAAAGAGCAACCTTTCGGCGCGGCATGGGAACCGTATCTAGCATGTTTTTGTGGGAAGGAGAGAGAGGAAACAAAAAGGGACGCAGGCACATCCCGCTGTCTGCCGAGGGGCACTCTTGAGAAGCACGACTGTTAGCAATTTGACAGACAGCACAGTCATTTTTCTTGTAAGAATTTATATATTAAGAGAGAAAACCGTGCAGGGACTTAAGACATACATACAATTTAAATACAGAGGGAGAGTCTCCGTGGCATGGAAGCTGGAGAGGCTGGCACGTGATCATCCAGAGCGTAGAGAGAAACTCCAACTGGAGAAAAATACTGTGTTTTTTCAGAATAGGTCATCACGCCAAGCAATCTCAGGTGCTTCACCCACAAGACTGAAGGCCTGAACATCATACCTTTTTTTCCCACCTTTCACCTCTGAATTGATCTTGAGCCATCCAAGGAAGATGCTGATACCATGCAAGTGTAACCATTCAAAAAGCAGCAGCAAGAACAGTGGCAATAAAGGACTTAAATCCCTTGTCCAGCCCCACAAATGAAGCAGCTGAGATCTGACAGAACAGAGGATTTGTCTTGAAACAGCCTGGCTGGCCTGCCCCTGCCCCGCCAGGTCACCAGCATCACTGCCACCCCAGGCCGAGAGGGTACAACCCTCGGAGTGTCCTGACGGTCAGCTTCAGGGCACAGGCCAGAAGAAATACCACAAGCAGACTTCAGATATCTCATGATATTAGATTGCTTTTAAAAACTAACTTACATGTGGTGTTATGCATGCCAAATATGTCACCAAATTTTACAAATCAATGATAGTATATATGCTAACAGTATAGAATAAATTATTAAAGTGGCAATTCATACTCCAAATGCATGCTTAGATTGCTTCAAAAGGTAGAATTTTTAATTAATATCTCTTCTAGTCAATTAAAACCCATGAAATATAAAAGTGTCAGTTACATACAAAAATCTGTGATTTGTATCAATGAAGTATTTTACTCAAAAGCTCAAATATTCTGATCAACAAGGTTACATTTAAATTATTTCTGACTATTTGTGGTCCAGGGAAAAAAACCAGCATATGCCCTGCAGTGCACTTTCTGCCTACCTAGCTAAGTAGTTTATCACAAATATGCTTTGGAAGAAATTAATTAGCTCATTAGGTTTAGCTAAGTTTGTGTAGCCTTCCTTTGACAAAACTGACATTTTAAAAGAGCGCATTCTACTTCAGAAAACAAAATCCCATGTGACAGGTTTCAAAGAACACCAAGTACAAGCGACACATACCACCAGGAGTTGTAGAATATTTTAAGAGATTACTATTTCTCTGGTAACAATTAAAAATAACTTTTAAAAGACCCTAAGAACATCACAAAGGTACAGCTTCATTGATGCATTGTAATTTTTCAGAACTTGCTGAAGTCATCTCTCCTTTATCAATCCCAGAAATAATGCCACAAATAAAAGACCTAATTCAGAGAAAACCGACTGCGATGAATCCAAAGAGTGTTTTATTTTCTTGTTCTCATGATAGCGTACTTTTCATTTTAAAAGAACTGTGCATTTTGAGGACGTCAGCAATTTTCTTCCCCTGAAATACTCCGTGTTAAAAAAAAACACACACCATTGCCTGGCAATCAATCATCTGCCATATTTATCAGCTTTCACATTCAATTTGCTAAAATGAGGGACAACTGCGTAAGGATTTCAAGAATGTGATGGCTGATAAAAAGTGAGAACACTAGTTGTACTCAAAATCACCAAGTCAGCCTTCTTACCTTTCTGAGGCTATTAGTTTGGCAAACCAAGGTCCTTTAATGACATTCACCCCACCCAAGCCTGTTTTTCTCATCAGAATGACCCCGCCTGTTTCCTTTGCACGCCGCAGCCCTTGCCGAGCGTCTTCATTGTTCAGAATGGGCTTAAGAAATACTAAGAAAAACCTCGTCATTTCCATCCCCCCTTCTACATTTCTCTCAAAGTATGACTCTGCCATCGGTGTAAGTTTTACATCAGGGGAAGTTCTGTGTTTAGAGATCACGCTCCTACAACGTGATACAGAATGGGAACATTACATTAGTACTTATTCTTTTATTTTTTAAAAATATTTTCCATACCTTCATTTTTTAAGTTCCCTCTTCACTCTGTCTCTCTTAATTTGCAAGTAGGGCTTACAGAAGAGTTTGAATTAACTTCTCATAGCAAGCTTAACACTGGTACAAGCAGCATTACGACACCCCATGTTTCATGTCACGGTCAAGAAGCAATGCCATACCTCTTCTGTTCTTGAACTGCTTCTTCAATCTGCCCACAAGGCTGTCACACCAACAACTACAATACTGGTTCCTACAGTACGGATACCCGTTTGTCAGACAGTATTTGGAGATACCTGCTCATTTCAGAAAGACTACCCAAAGTGTCTGCAGATATCCACAGCTCTCCGTCACTGCCAACCTGAGCCAGTTCCATATTACTGACCTCAAGACGGAAGACTGAATATGCCAAGACTCCAAACTGGGTACCATCCAGTCCTCCCCCATGAAATAATTTTTAACTGTCAGAATCAATTTAATATGATATTTTAGAAGGACTTATTGGACATCCCAAACTGGTATTCAGTGACAGGTGAGGAATCATGCTGGCAAGGGATGGACTTGCTCTCAGCTGATACAAAGGCTTAGAGCAACCAGAGGAAGAAAAGCTGATGGCCTTCTGTTCTTCTGGCTCCCTACAGCTCTGGAGACTTATGTTCACAAAATTGTGGGTTTTTTAAAAATTTTATTACTGCTGCCATCCACAGAATAACAACGAAATGAGTAAGAATTATGTCACAAGACCTATCAGATTCCTCTCCAGGACACACTGTGTGACACAGCTGCAGAAATCCAGCAGCAAGGGTAGAGGTATAATCCATAAGGCATTACAACACAAAAAACCTCAAGCGAGTGATGGAAAGGATAAGTTCACCCTCTGCACAGCGCAGGAAGACCCCCTTCCCAGTCTCTGGGAAACAGAAGTGAGTATGCCTTTTCTTGCCAAAGGGCTGGAGTATTTAAGATGCAAGAAAAGTTACCCCTTCTTCTCAACACTCGAAGAGCCTCCCCACCCATATCCAGTATCTTCCGTCCTTTTAAACACCGAGGCAATCAGTGGGTGCACTGGGCTAGGAAAAAAGGGAACACATACAAATACTCACACGCAGAGGGAGGAAGTCCGTCTTTTTTATTAGCACTTGGTTAGAAAACATCTCCTGAATTTCTCAAGAAACAAAAAGCTGAATACCCAACACCTCCTATCCAAATATTGGCATGAAATTGAGATTAATTTCTAGGCTTGAGAGGAGTATGAAAAAGAACTGGCAACCACCCCCAGTTAGGTTTGCAGGAAGTAACAGAGCACTTGACCTTGCGTAGCACTTCGCATTTTCTCAGTCCTCTATAAACACCGGCTAACACCAACCAATACAACAAGAGCTTCCTAGCATAGTTTATATACAAAACCATCGGACCAGTAAAACAAATACAAATTGATACTTTTGAAAATAAATAAGCAAGCTCACTGGCCACTGGAAGCATACTATGTTTTACAACAAAATTTGTAAGTTTAGCTTTTAGCTCAAGTTCACAGTTCACACTGCAACAGAACCCGTGTAAAAATAATTTGTATAAATACACCAGGAGAAGTGACACACAGACACAAACACACTACACATACTGTCTGTGAAATACACTATATGTCATTTCAAAATTGACCTGTATGTATGCAGCATTTCAAGAAGGCATTAAAAAAATTAAAAGGAACAAGATCTTTATGTAACTGCATTACAATGTATATAAAATAATTAAACACAGGTTATGTTCTTTGACAATATTTATAATGTAATGATCTATGTACCATCAATTTAAAAAAAAAATTGCCAGGCTTAATCCTGATTTAACCTCACCCTTAATTATTAAAAATAGTTAAGCACTTACCATAATGTGATTGAAATGCCTGTGGTTTTACGACCTGATTACAGTGGTTACACATCACCAAATAGAAATCATCATGAGCCGGGCAAAGACCAAATATTGGCATATCTAAAAACAAAAAGACAAAATGGCATCTCTCAGCTGCTGACAATTATTGAAAAAACAGTTTAATTACAGAGCCATGACACTAGTGTTGAATCATAATTTTAATACATTTGTACCAGATTTGAAAATGAGGAAAAAAGAGCATATAATGCAATAGATAATTTTGTGCTGGAGTATTACAAAAGCAAAAAATCTTCCTACAAAGATAAATGTAAAATAAGCGATTACTTGTAGAAAACATCTATTAGAAAACTGATTTAGGACTGATTATCTTATACCAGATGCAAGAATGTAATAAAAAAAAGACTGACTTCAAATGACAAACACAACATAAGAGAGGATGTTTTATGTATTCTGAAAGGGGTCTGGATTTTATTCCAATTTCCTTAAATGAATTCAAAAATGAACTTTATTTTCTATTTAATTTTTTTTTAAACCATTTTAAACACACGGTCGTTTACCAGGCAGTATTACATGCCTAATGGTTTTATTTGTTTAAGAGTGCATTATAGTCCAGCCATCTGCTGCCAGAGATCTGTGTAACAGCTATATAAGAGAGAGAAATAGAGATAACAGTATGTCAGAGCATGTGTGGATTTCAGAGATAACACACATACTTGCAGACCTTTACTAATAAAATTAGTTTCTACAATTTTGTTTTTAAGAATACAGCTTCTTAAGAATACAGTTTAACAGTTAAAACTGCATTCAGAGACTACTGGAACATTAAATACAACATTTACTACACAACTTAAATGTATCTATTACATTTATATAACTAAAAATGTTATTCGATCATTAGAAGACAAAAAATAGGAAACTGCAAACGTAAGAGTATAAATTCATTATTGCCAAAGCACGTGGCTAAGGGATCTATAACACTATTTAAAGGTTTAAAACTGATATAAGAAAACTTATTTTCTTAAAAAAAAATACTTAAGTAATAGATTTATGGTAACAGTAACTCAGAAATTAAGTTAAACTTATTTACCTCTGTGCTAGAACTGACCCCAGAGTTTTGTTTTAAAGCTACTAATGTGCCTATGTGTATTTTTAACAACATCCATAGTTTTGTTCGTTACTGGAACACCAATTATGAAATCAATTGAGTGGGCTGCATTTTAGGAGCAAAGGTGCCATAACCCAAGGTAACCGCTGGCAGCGCGACGCTGGCAGCCCTGCAGAGCCCCACAGACTCCGCTTTTTTTCCTCGCAGACAAAGGAACGTATCCACACCGAACAGCTTCCAGAATTAAGGGCTCCCTTTGTAGTAAGTATCTTCTTCATAAAAATTTAATTACCTTTCTTTAAAAAATAAGGTCTATCCCAGGTTTTCCAAAAACCTTATTAGTGCTACATTAAAATTAAGCATGATACCAGCAATAACAGCTGCAACTGGATTTTGCAGTTGGACACAAATACAATGACCATCGACATCTGACACGGCTGTGATAGATCAGAGCTACCTAAATCACAGGCACCTTTTTGTAACTGAGGTTACATTAAATAAATAATAAATTATAAACTGATTTGCAATTCGTTAAGTAGCGACTCTTGCTTATTTATTTATAAGATATTTATACATATAGTGAAAAAAAAGTATTAAGACCTCAGGCACACCTAACTTACTGCAAACTAGGCAAAACTGAGTAAATATATGCTGGGAAAAGAAGTCAGATAGGAATAATAAACTTCTATTTTTCAATATCTACTTTCTGTGATGTAATATTAAGCTAGTGAAGAGCAAAAAAAAAAAAGTATAAACTTAAATGTCATTGCTAATACTCCACGCAGGAGCTCTTTCGCTATGCCTGCGTAAAAGAGTTTCCACACGGCAAGCAAATACTCCAGGGTCACTTCCATTTGACTCCTAATAGACCACGATGAATGGGACAATAACAGCACGCACTGCCTGCTATTTACATTGTTAATAGCACACAGACAGGCAACTGCGGTATAATGTCTAACGAACTGTAAATCCACACCCTGTAACCTGCTCTCAGAACCATACCTTTCGGACAACACTGGATTCACAGACTTTACACCAGCTTGTACAGAATGCAGGGGGGAAAGTCATTAACAGGAGGAACGGATTGCTTGCGTCTCTTGCAAAAGCTAAAGCACTCCTTGACACTAGCCCGAGACATCACGGTCACTCTATTTAAGTACCCTTTTATGAATATTTGCTGGAAATACAGAGCTGCAATTTGAAACAAGTGAAACAAACTGGCAGAAATCGACGTACACAAAAGTGTTTTCTTATTTCAGTTTGGGGATCCCAAGAAATCTGAATAATTTACGAGCATCCTTTACACTGTATAGCACATCTTCAGAGTTTTAAAATCAATGCTCCAAGTGACAGAAAGCAATGCCAAAATACTAGGAAATACACAAACTTGTAAAGAACCATTCTAAGAGTAAAACCACTTGACACAGAAAAAAAAAAAAAAAAAAAAAATTTGCTGCACACCCAAAATCACAACCGTGGTTTCAAAGGAAGTCACGCACAAGACTCCAGCCAGATCACACCGATCAACGTGAAAGATCTTCTGCCCCCGCAGTACTCTCCTGCGGTGCTGATAACAGAGCAGCATCTAAACGTAACCAGCAAGGGAGCAGCAGGAAAGCTAGAGTCCTAAACGCAATTCCTTTTGTTTTCTCATATGAGGTAAAATAAACTATAGCATTTTATTATCAAAGCATTTATTTAAAATAGATACAATCAAATCCTTTTGTTAGAGAAACCCACAGGGCCCCAAATAAGACTGGAACCCAACTATGCTGAGCACTGCATGAACACAGGAGACCAGCCCACAGACTGGATACCAGGGGGCAAACAGCAGTGTCCGTACTTCACGGAGACCTGAACGTTAGCTTTAACAAGGGGTTTGGAACTGTAAGGAGTGTGACCCAACCACGATCAGTTAAGACAACTGGAAGAGACCTGAATCCACACTTCCCAACCCGGGAGCCTCAGTCTTAGGCAGGTAAGCACCCCCGCATTTAATGTGCTTCACTGTCATTTTAGTTGAGCAGAATAAGAGCAGGTTTCAGGGAAATCCTGTTTCTGTGTTCCAATGGGGCAAACATCTATGCGGCACTGTTATGAGAATGACAAATTAGACCATGCAAGTGTTAGAGAACAATATACAGAATAGTTCAACAAAACTTACGTAAGAAGTACGTACCAAGAGCAGGGGATGGATGCCTTATTTTTCTGTTCCCCCCCCAGCCACTTCTGAAAGTTCACCCGTCTTGCAGTTGATATTCTACTGTCTAATACTTTATACCTATTTCATTTAATGGCATGCAAATTCTCTATTTAAAAGTCTAATGAAGTTTATAGTATTTCACCAGTGTCATTTCAAACGCACTGTTCCTCCGAGTTTAAAGATTACTTTTTGAAATACTTCACTGTAAATGTAAAGCCTGTGCCTCTCAAGGAAGAGCCTAGCAACCGTGATTCATATGTTCCTCTTTCAAAGCTGGGCTCATTTAACTCTCTCCATCTGGGAATGTTTTTCAAGGTCAAACTAAAAATTTAAACCAAGACCTCAAAATTTCCATTTATTTTTCCGTAAATGCAGTATTTATACGGTATCAACATACAAATACTGTTATAGGAGCTGCTAGTTACATTAATTCTGTTAACACCAAAAAGAAAAACAACTTCATGTACCTCCATAATATGAAACCTCTGAATGTTGTGACCTCCAGAATTCACTTCCCCTTTCAAATGTAACTTAGTTACAGCGTTTTTAAAAAGGTAACTTTAAATGATATATTGCTGCACTCTTCACCAAGACTAGAACAAACCCATGCCATAGGCAATTCGGAGATACCTTAACTGCATTATTTGTTGAGCATGTAATAAGGAAAATGCTTCTTATTTGGAAAAGGCCAATATAGTACCTTTTCTAATAAAAAAGGAAAAACAATAATGGACAATCTGGCATACCGTACGTCAAGTAACACGGAGCTCAGCACGTCTACTCTGAAAAACTTCCTTAAACTGAGCTGCCATCTCCTCTTCTCCCGAGAGATGTAGAAGCACAGAAGTCACCTAATAATGTCTTAGTATTTTCAGCATTTTCTTTCAAGACGGTTACACTACAGAAATTCATGCTTGTGGTCATTAAAAGTAACTGTGTCTGTGTACCCTCAATTCTATTATTTAACATCACGGACAACAGAACAAATAAAACAGGCTAAATCATGCAGCTGGAGAACAGGCCGGCAGTTTGCATTTATTGAGCCACTAGATTCAGTGACTGCCACAGCTCCACTGTGTATTTTTATTGGATTTTTTTTTTTTTAAACCCCAATATTTATCAACTTTCCTACAAATCTTGTTGTCCCTTTTCAGGCTGGGACCATTGCAAAGTCCATCTAACCTAGCAGGTAATAAGACAACATCCCTTCTAGAAATGAAATGAAATATCACCAAAAAAGCGAGGTCGAGATCTTCTCCAGGACAGCAAACCCCAGAGGCAGAGGGTAAAAGGAGCCCTAATCCTGGCTGTTTGCAGAGACCAGAACACAAGTTTCCTATTTTGCAGAAGTCTGCTCACCGCGACTGAAAAAACAAGGAGGAGAGCGAAAACTGAAAACAGAGGAAGAGAAAGCAAAACTAGCAAGGGCAGAAGTGAAAGGGCAAAGAACAAACTCTATCAGAGGTAGGGCAGAAGAATAAAAAAACTTGATGAAAAAAGTGACAAAAACACATAAAAGTACTGCAGAACTATTTTTTTAAGCCAGAACACAGCTAATGCTCACCTCCTCCCTATCCATTCTCAGCATAAGCATCTGCTTATTAAGACTGATTTTTAAAGTCTGAATCTGATTTATCACAAATATGTACATCCTGCTTGCCATTTAGTGTAATTTGACAACGGATATTTCATGCTGATGCCCGATGTGAACAGTAAAATGTTTTGACTACAAAGATCCCCACAGCATAGCATAACATGCCTTCAGCACACCGCCAGCCTGATTATACTT